GATTTGCTACAACCGTATGTCCCACCACGCTCCCTGAGGTCAGCGGACCAGTTGCTCCTCACAGTTACAGGAACTCGTCTTAAGCGCAGAGGTGACAGGGCCTTCTCTGTAGCAGGACCAAGACTCTGGAACGAGTTACCTCTGCTTGTCAGACAGGCCCCCTCCCTCTCAGTTTTCAAGTCCCGTTTAAAAACTCACTACTATTCAATAGCTTTCAACGCAAGATGATCCGTGTTTTGATCCTGTATGCTCTACACTGGTTTGTCGTCAAAGTTACAGCTTGGCTGTGCGTATTTACGCAGCGCGATGGAGCTGCGCGCTTGTGGTACGCTGGCATTGTTTTAAAGCTGGGATTGTGTCATTGAGTCTTGTGTAAGCTGAAATTGCACGCCTGTTATGTTAACTAAAAGCTGATGAGCTGTGAAAAACGCTGCATTCTGTTTAAACTGAGGTCCAAACGGACGGGAGGTTCGGTTCTGGAGCGGCTCGGTTCTGGAAAATTCGAACAAAGTTTTTTTAAATAGCTAGAAAGACGTTTTTGAGACCGGAGTAGGAGACTCCGTACAGCTCAGAGTTGATTCGTTACATTTTTAACAGAAAAAGTGCATTTTGATGGTTTAAAAGACGATCGGTTGACAAAATAGTTCAGGCTACTCTAACATGGCTGCTAACGCTTCGTGGTTGTTTGGATTGCTGGTGTGGAGCGCTCGGATTTGCTGAGAAGGTTGAATGCGTGCCTACGTGACTTCCTCTCAACCCCGCGCTGCTTTTCATTGGTGATTTCAGTCACGTGACCCGGAAGTGAAAATTCGTTTTCATAGGGAAATAAAATCAGCTTTTTAAAGCTGAAAAGCGCTGCAAAGCTGTGTTCTGACACGGTGTTTAAGTCTTCGAGGTCTAATCGCTAAAACTACGCCACGTTTGTGTAAAAAATTCGTTCAGAAACGTTGATTTTAACCGGGTTTAGCCGAAGCTAACTTTAAGCTAAGCGGCTAACAACAGGATGTCAACCGAACGCCACAGGAAGTTATAGCTCCCCTAGTGGACAATACAAACAGTGTCGGAGTTAAAATTGTTAAGGTTGTACTGACATCTTGTGGAGAAGACGTGGGATCACAGGTTTCACTTCGTTTTTAGGGTTAAATAGTGAAATTAAACGTTTTTATTCTTTTAAAGGCATTTTTGAGTTATTGACCGTTCCTCAAAGTTGAATAGACTCTGTTATCTTGCATTTTAAAAGTTATGAAGGTATTTATGCAGAGAGCATTTATCCAACAAAATTTTTAGTCACTGATAAATCCTTGAGAAACAGGTACAGAATAAAAATTTAGAAACTTTTAAATAAGATACAGTTACAGATATTCACAAAGTTGGAAAAAGTTTACTCATTTGCTAGAAGGTAACGCACGTTTAATTGATAAATCACTAAATAAGAGTAAACTTATCAGGAAAAAGAGATTTTTCTGATTTTCTTTTACCACCTAAACATTTACATCTCCTATTTAATTTCTAAATAGCAGATAATGGCGGACGAAGATGAAAACACTGACCCCTTACAATCCGGAGATGCTGTCCAGACAGCGTTACACATTTTAACAAATTCAATTGTTGGTAACCAATTAGAGAAATTGCTAGACCTTGATGACGATCAAAGATATGAGGAGCTGCAGACGTTGTCAAAAGCAGCTAAAGTGAAGGAGGACACGAAATCCAGCCGTGAACGGTTGGCAAAGATTGCTCTGCTTCTGAAGGCGGAACTGGACCGTATGGTTGAACGAAATACCTTGCTGTTCAACGGATATGAGTCTGAAAAGGAGAGGTGTGACAAATTGTTAAATGAATCTGAGTTGCTGAAACAACAAATTCAGACTGATAGGGACCTCTCAAAGACTGAGCTGTCAGAACAGGCTCAATCATATGAGGAGAGGATTAAAGCTAAGGAGCAGGTGTACGAAGCCGCGTGTGCAGATAACAATATGTTACAAGCACAGTTGCAGGTGGCATTAAAGGAATGGGACGATTGCAAGGCAGACAAGGAGATAATACTCCGAAATTGGCTGAAATTACAAGGTGAAAATCAGTCAATACAGGCGCGCCTAACAGCTTGTGAGGAGAGGCTTGCTACAGCTACAAACCTGATTTCTGACATGGAGCTAGCTGGTTTGAGACTCGGAAACGAACAGGGTCAGCTACAGCCACCCCAGACAGGTGCTGTTGCACCTCCTCACTTTAACGCCATGCGGCCACCCCCAACCCCATCTCGGGCGGCGGGGATGGACCTGCACCGATATCATCTCACTGAATCGGTATACACCATGCAGTCATCTCCATCCCCACCACGGGTGGTAGGGACAGACCTGCACCCACTTGCACCTCTTCCTCCTGACACCATGCAGTACTCTCCACCCCCATCTCGGAGGGTGGAGACAGACCTGCACCAATATGCACCTCCTCCTACCAACCCTCATCAGCCACCCCCACCCCCACCATGGGCGGTAGGGGCAGGCCTTGACCAGTCTGCACCACCAGTCACACAAGTTAGACCGTTGATACAGTCTCCTTCAATGGATGATTTGCAGAAAATCTCAAAATATGTACAACGTTTTGTTCCCGGACCCATGGGGTCAGCTGGAACAAAAGCGTATCTCAAAGATCTGGAGTTCAGATTGAGATCTTATCCTAATGCTACGACAGAGGATAAGATCAGTCTGATACGGCTCACTTCGGACAGAGAGGTGTTCACCTTCATCGAGCGTCTACATGATGCAACGAAGAGGGATTACAACCTTCTGTGTGAAGCTTTGATCAGAGAGTACGACCCCTGCACGGGACCTGCTGGTTTCCCAGCTGCAGACAAGGTCACGCAGGGTAAAACTGAACATCCAAAGGTTTATTACAAAAGAATCTTCCAAGCTTATTTTGGTAACAGAAATGAGACCGGCATGGAAGAAGATGATGGTTTTAAGTTTGTTTTCAGCAAAAATCTCCACTCTGATTTTAAAAAATCAGTACAAATGATGGCAAATTTCAGAGAAAAATCCATCAGTGAGATTAAGCAGTGTGCTGTGAATGTGTTTGAAGCATGTTCTCATGCTAAGACGCCCATAGAAGTGTTTCCTAGTGTAAAGGTTAAACCCCTCCCTCTTGAACTAGAAGGACGACGTGCTTCGCCGCCTCCTCCTAAGAAAGAGAGAAAACAGTCTGTTCAAGCTAACAAACCGCGTCCTGAAGGTGCACGCTGGGACAAAAAGGCTCCTCTTTCAGAGGAAGACAGTGATTATCGAAAAATGGGTGGGCGCAGGACGCAACGATATGAGAAACCATATCATCAGGGGCAGTACGTAAAGGAACCCCCGCAAGACGTACCTGACCGTCCCCCACCTCGGATGAAACGATCCGAGGCGAATAAATCACAAAAGTTCCAGAAACAAGGCCCTAAACCTCTGAGCTCGGAAGAGACAGAGAAACTACGCAGGTTGTTAGAAACTTTGAAACACACTGACACGGGAACCCAACCAGGAGCACTTTGCAGTAATGTAATTCCTATTACATCCGAGGGCGCTAATGACAACATAACAGATGTCGGTGGAACACACCAAGACATTGCTGTTGTTGCCTCAAACAACCCCTCATCGGAAGAAGGGGGGGTAAACACACACACGAACGATGACGAGTCATCGCAAGCTGAACACTCAGAAACAGCTTCTGCTGTGCTGACGGTTCAGGCAAACCACAATTACACAGATAAGGCTGAACGCGTGAAGAAGCGTCAGAAAAAACCCAAAAGGTTTCTGTGTAACTTTATCAGAAGGGGGGTCGCCAAAAAGGCGTACCTGTCAGTAACACTCGAAGGTGTCCTCACACACGAAGCACTCTTGGACGGTGGAGCAGACATAACAATTATGTCGGCTAAACTGTTCGAGGAGCTGAGGACGGCCGCTGCCAGTGTTAACAGGATAATACCTCTCTCTGAATGTGCTATAGAAATGCAGGGTCTCTCAGAAAAGAAAACAACCCTGACAGCTATAGCAATGGTTCACATGCAGATTGGCAATATGACACTGTACCACCCGGTACACGTGTCTCGTGTTGACTCATTCCCATTTTTGGTTGGCCAAGATTTTATAAATCGCTTCGGCGCGATTATAGATTATGGTGATCAAACAATGTGGACAACAGTGAGCAAGCCACTGCCAATCGATACGCCTCCGGAGTGTGACACAGACTGCCCAACAGCAGGTACCGCGGAAGGCACAAAGGACTCCTCAGCCGAGGAAACGAGCCCGGTGAGTACTCCTCTGACACCATGTGAAACCAAAGAAACCCAAGAGATCCAAACTCTGACTCAACAAGACAGCCTCCTCTGTGAGCTGGAGCAGTCAGAGTCCACCAAACACTACCTACCACTGGTAGTTAAGGGTGTAGAGATCCAAGGGTCCCACACCAACGATGCTGTTCTGTCTCTGTGGAC